GCAGAGCATGACTTTAAGTTATTTATAAGAGCATTGAAGTTTGAGGAGTCCCAATTTTTTGTACTGTTTCAGTTTTGTAAAGTAGGCAATTTGATAGCTACAGAAACTGGTTATTTTGAGTCCTGCTTCTATTTTTGCTAAATTTTAAGCCATTTATAGGACTCGCAGTATAAATAGTAAAAATTTAATATCAAAATTGTTTTTCATATTTTTCCCTGAGTGCCATGATTTTAAAAGTTCAATGAAAATCTTCAGTGAAACCTTATTTCTTCAGTTTTGTCTGCCCATGCTTTGAATGTTTTGAATGAATGGTTACTTGAAATTTTGTTCAGACTTTTTTGATCTAAGGTTCAATTTTGAGGGAAATTACTTATATTAATAGAGTTATGCAAATCTGGTATAATATGATGAACTGTGGACTTTAGTTTATGATGAACTGTGAGCTCTAGTTTATGACATATTTGAGTAGTGTAAGTTTTTGAGGTATTCCCTATAGAAGTAGAATTCTTTCTAGGATTCGTAGGATAAAATATTTTCCTTTTGTTATTCACACACAAAGTGTTTCTTAATTAAAGCATTTTATATTTAGTCAAGTACAGGACATACTACAAGTATATATTTTCTATAGTTATACAAATAGTTTAATTTTGAATTTTTTTTTTTTTTTTTTGGTTCTTAAATTTTGAAATTTAAGGCAAAATTGACATGTCCTTCTTGATCTCTGTAGTGAAAGTATAAGTCACTCCATCATGTCTGACTCTTTGCAACACCATGGACTGCAGCCCTCAAGGCTCCTCTGTCCGTGGGATTCTCCAGGCAAGAACATGGGAGTGAGTAGCCAATCTCTTCTCTAGGGAATCTTTCCGACCCAGGGATAAGACCCAGTCTCCTGCATTGCAGACAGATTCTTTACCATCTGAGCTATCAGCAAAGCCCCTCTTGATCTCTATACAGTTTCAAAAATGAAATATTTGAGGCCTTGTGATAGTCATTACAAGAATCTATTTTATTCCTGGTCACCTCTTTCCCAGGGATGTAGCCCTTTGCCAATACAAAACAGGGCAGGTTCACCTAGAATCCCTATTGCCTCCTGGAGAGCTGTGGGTTCCAGTTCCTGACTCGCCTTCCCCTCAGGCTGTCAAAAGTACTGTTCAACCTCTCAGTTCTTTTCTCTCTAACCAGCAAATGCTCCTAGAGAAAAAGTAGCCCCATATTCCAAGTTCACCTCTCTGGGCCTCTGTGCTTCCCTGCGTACTGTCTTAGTAATTTTTCACTGTCATGTTAGCTCACTGATACCTTCAGGCAGATTTCTTATTTTGTATCCTTTTCTGGTTGTCTTTAAAGGTGGGGACTGTCCAAATTACCTGGATCTCCTATTACAGTAGTAATACTTGTCTTGTTTTTAAAAAGAAAAAGTTGATTTTTTAATTGAAAAAGCATATTTCTATAAAGCAGTTTTCCAGATTTCCCTTGCAACTCTGCATACAGTGTAATGATTGATATATCTTCTTTCTGAAACACATATACTATTTATAGCACACCCATATTAATAATGCATTGTAGATTTGCTCTGATTCTGCCCTCTTAGTGCATCATCAGTATAATGCTAAGTTATTTTGGAGAAAGAAGTCTTTCAAATTCTGTGAGCCTAAGAAGTGAAAACAGGTAGACAAAGAATGAGATCTCCAAAGTTGTTTGAAGATGAAAAACCTTTGCTTGAAGGAAATTACCATTCCTCAAAAAGTTCTCAGTGCATTGCATAATATAATTCCCCACTTCAGTGTTGCAGATAGAATTGAGACCCTCAGCCTTATAGCAGTTTAATTCTACTATAAGGAGAACTTACCTGACTTTTAAGAACAGTATATTCTTTATATCAGAAGTATCTCTCTCTCTCATTTAAACTGTACACAAACCTGATTTACTTAGTAGTGCTCAGTCTCTAGTTTGCATTTATATTCATCATAATGCTAATGGAGGCATAATTTAATATCTGAAAATGAATTTGCAAGGTATCTCTATATTTTGTTCCTAAGCATTCAGTTATTCAAATATTGAGGGTTCATCATCTGTCTGGTGAGCTTCCCAAGTGGCTCAGTGGTAAAGAACCCACCTGCCAATGCAGAAGACACGGGTTTGATCCCTTGGTCAGAAAGATCCTCTAGAGGAGAAAATGGCAACCCACTCCAGTATTCTTGCCTGGTAAATCCCAGGGACAGCCTGGTGGGCTACGGTCCATGGGGTAGCAAAAGAGTCTGACACAACTTAGTGACTAGAAAACAACACATCTGTCTGGTACTTTAATAGGAAGTACCTATCTGTCTGGGAATATAATAGGAAGCAGAACAGCCGAGAATCCCTGATTTCTTAGAGGAGATTAATAGACCATAAAGAAAATAAAATTTGAATTTATATATATTAGAAAATGCATAGTTATATTTAAAATAATGAAGGCAGGGATAGGGGAGCTAGGAGTACTAAGGTTTCGGGGAGTGGGAAAATGTAAAATTTTTAAGTGGTATGGTGAGGGAAGACCCCTACTGCGGGGTATGCGGTGTGTCTGTATCCAGGTACCTTGCTGAGCCTTTATCTCCTGGCATCTTCACAGTGGTTACTGTACTTGTTGATGGCCTGAGTTCAATGTCCTTTGCCAACAAGTCCTACTGTATTTACGTACAGTATCAGTTCTTAATGCACACAAATTATTTGTGTTTGTTCATTAAGAAAAAGTACTAGATGATCAAAGAAACAATGGGATATTTTATCCTGTTTCTTGAATATTTGATGACTTAAAGTTATGTTTTCAGTAGGCTTTACTTACCTTATTGGAAAACATGTTCAATTCTGCCTGTTTGTGTGAAATTTCAACCAGTCACACAGATCTCTTGAGTGAAAGGAGGAATTATGTGGTAGTACTTTGGGGGAAGAAGATGATGCCAGATCTTTTGTGGCTTTCAAGTATAGCTTAGCTTGTTTTGAAAACTTTTCTATGCCAGCTTTAATATGATAATTCTAAAGAGCTGGATAAGTGTTTTGATTTCTCTTTAGCCTTAGCATTCTGTGGTATCTTCATTTGTTTTGGCAGTTTCCGTATATTTGAAATTATGTAAAATAATCTGATAGAAATTTTTCAGTGCATTTAAGGTCTAAATCCCAGTGTCTCTGTTATTGAAATGATAAACTATAGGAGTAGTGATATAAATTTGGATTAAAATTAGTTTTTCAGTAATGTGAAATAAGTTTCTTTTTTTCTTGTATTAAATATGTAGTGTTTAGTGTAGCCTTTAAAATGCATGTGTGTACGTGTGTGTATGTAGGAGTATTGAATATAAGATGACATGAATGTAACGTTAAAGTTGACCTTGGGTAGTTTCCATGGCATAACAAAATTTTCTTTTTGTTTAGCTTTCATGTTGTAGCCTCAAAGGGAAATCTTGAGTGTTTGAATGCCATCCTCATACATGGAGTTGATATTACAACCAGTGACACAGCAGGTATGTTTGCCTCCATAGTTAGTGCAGAGAAGACAAGCATTGTCCACTGATAATGCTCTCAGTTCAGTTCAGTTCAGTCGCTCAGTCGTGTCCGACTTTCTGCGACCCCATGAATCGCAGCACGCCAGGCCTCCCTGTCCATCACCAACTCCCGGAGTTTACTCAAACTCATGCCCATCGAGTCGGTGATGCCATCCAGCCATCTCATCCTCTGTCGTCCCCTTCTCCTCCTGCCCCCAATGCTCTCAGTCAGACTTAAATGTGATTTTCAGAGAGAAGGCCTTAACTTGGTTTCTAGTTAGTTGAGGTATTGTGGGGGAGAAAGCAATGTAGCGGAAAGCATGAGTGAACAGATTAGCAGCTGGAGACCTGAAGTCTAGGGCTTGTCTTGGTAGTGTTACAGGATTCTAAAATCTCAGGCTTCAGAGAATCTATAGGGGCCATTTAATTTATACTTATATGCTATTCATGGCTCAGCGGTAAAGAATCTGCCTGCAATGCCGGGAGCCGTAGGAGATGTGGGTTTGATCCCTGGGTCGGGAAGATCACCTGGAGGAGGGCATGGCAACTCACTCCAGTATTTTTGCCTGGAGAATTATTCTACGGCCAGAGGAGCTTGGTGGGCTACAGTCCATAGGGTCACAAAGAGTCATGCATGACTGAAGCAACTTAGCACAGATGCATGTACTACTCAGTATGTAAATTCTTGCTGTCCTGAGGTCATTTGGCCTTTGGTTAGACTTGTTGGGGAACTAATTACCTCATAACAGCATCACCAGTCGTGATCATAACAGGAATAGATGATGCTTTTTTTTTAAACATGATAATAGATGACGCTATTCTGCTAAGCACTTTACATGTATTAACTCATTTTATCCTCACATCAAGCCAGTGAGTCTACAAGGCACTGAGTTGTTAAGTGATGTGCCAGAGTCCTTCAGTGTATGAGTTACAGTCAGAGTCTGTGTTCTTAACCGTTATGCCTCATGAGGAGACCTGGTCTGTTTGGCTAGCTATATTTATAAACAAGTGTTTCTTCTAGACAGGCCTCCTGCTTAAACTTAGTCATACCTATGTCTGTCTTTTAAAATACTATAGCATATGTTTGTTTGCATATCACAGGATAGATTTTAAGCGTTTGAATATAGCTATCACTTTTCTTTAGTGAATGTTTTAGTTTTCCGTTCATCTAGACAATCATTCTCATTTCTCTGAGATCCTTTGCAACTTGTATCTCTGAGCTTATACTTTGTTACTCCATGAAATATGGGAGTTGACCTAGAGCAGAGAGTTTCCTTAACAACTTTAATGTTTTATCCTGTGACTTCATGTGTGGACAAATAAATGCATTGCTGTTAACAGCATTCTGTTTGGAAATGGAAGGCAAGGAGGGAGAGAAAGGGCGACATCACAGATGAGTTAGTGAGGTAAATCTTCACCTAAAGGTACATCAAATTCTTAATTTATTTTTATTTTTATTTTTTATTTCAGTATTATAATCAACAGGCAGACTTTGCTATACATGCTAGTTTCCCACAGGAAAGGCAAAAGTTATTAACTGTATGATGATAGGAGTAGGGCTACAGGACCCTCTAAAGAGAGCTGGACCAGTGTTCGCCAAGAAAAAAAATAATAAGCTGTCCTTTTTTTTCTTTTCTGTTCTTGGGAACAAGAAGGACAAACTTTTTTTTTTCTCTCAAATAAAGAATGGCAACTTTTTCACTATTGAAACAAATACAAATGGCCCATCTCCATTTGTTTATTTGTTTTGAGAGAATTTAATGATAACAAAAGACCACAAAATACATCACTGACTCTGTCATTGATCCTCTAGCTATTTAGACAAAATACTCCCCTTCTCTGTGCATTAGTTTGTTCATCTAGAAAACAGATATGGAATGAGAGTGGCCTTAAAGGACTATTGCAAGCTTTCACCTTCCTACACAGGATGGACTGAAGTCTGAAACAGAGCAGCAGCACATGATACAGATAAATGGCATCTATTCTTCTGTATTTCTTACCTCCATCAAATTACAACTGAAGAACTATTCAAAGTCATGGTTTGTGACTTTTAGAAGTCTATGTTCCACGGTGTGGCCACTGCCAAAATTTAACACTAGGTTTGAAGGAAGCAACAGCTACAGTCTCACGTAGCCTATGGAGATAAGCATTCCACCTTAAGAAGTCAGGATAGTGTTCAGGGATTTTCCTCCACCAAGATTTTGGATCCAATGAAAATGTATCGGAGGACTGTCAGGATGACAGAAGTGAAGAATCCAGTGGACGTTGTTCTGAGTACTCTGATGAGTTTAATTGCACTGATGGCTTCAGCAGGATCGCGAAGTGATGGATGTGGTTCGATCACTCCGTGGCGGGCCGGCTCACTTGGAGCTGGTGTACTTGGTGACGGCCTTGGTGCCCTCGGACACCGCGTGTTTGGCCAGCTCCCCGGGCAGCAGCAGGCGCACGGCCGTCTGGATCTCCCTGGATGTGATGGTCGAGCGCTTGTTGTAATGAGCCAAGCGCGACGCCTCGCCCGCGATGCGCTCGAAGATGTCGTTGACGAAGGAGTTCATGATGCCCATGGCCTTGGACGAGATGCCGGTGTCCGGGTGGACCTGCTTCAGCACCTTGTACACATACACGGAGTAGCTCTCCTTGCGGCTGCGCTTGCGCTTCTTGCCGTCCTTCTTCTACGCCTTGGTCACCGCCTTCTTGGAGCCCTTCTTCCGGGCCAGAGCGGACTTAGAGGGTTCAGGCATGGCCGGGAGTTTACTGCCAAACAGCCCAAAAACCACAGGAAGAAAGAAGCCCAAATTCTTAATTGAAGACCAAACTTTATTTACTTGCCACCTTTGAATGAACACAAAACTGTTTATTACACACACACACATATACACACACGTGTGTGTATGTTTTCCATTGAAGCAGAATATTTATTTTTAGAAATTTTGTACTAGCCATACCTTTTCAGAACTCAGAAAACTTTGTATGTGTATTGTGCTGATTCCAACTCCAACATATGTCTTTTTTGTTTTTGTCTGTGTTCTTTCCACCCTGGATGATTTGCCTAGTGACCAATCTGAGTGATTTTTGCCCTCTCTCCTTCAGTGCAAATAAAGCTTACACTTAAAGCATGCCTATAAATAAAGTAGTCTGTCAACTGATTTTGGGAAAAATCACATTTTTAAGGGGGATTCACATGTGAAGAAAATAACCCTTATCATATATTTAAAACTATCCCTTTTCTAGGAAGGAATGCTCTGCACTTGGCTGCAAAGTATGGGCATGCACTGTGTCTGCAGAAACTTCTACAGGTAGTAAAAGTGGTTAATACTTTGACTTTATTACTTTGACTGCAAATAGTAGATGTGTTTTCAATGCATTTTTGGAACTTGAGATCAAAGAAAATAGTAGGCTAGCTTTGACTGTTAGCTTACGTAATATTTTTTCCATCATTTGTGAAAGAATGTGAACAATAAAGAGCAAAAACTCTGAGGGAAGTGAATTGCATAACTCAGTGTATTAAAAATAAACAACAAAGACTTGACCTTCCTGTTGACATTAGCTAGAGATTGGAATTTTCTGTGGTCTGGTATATGACTTGAGATGAAGTGGCACAGCATAGGGTCTGTATGTTTCTATATAAACACCAATAAGTCAGACTGTATAATAGCATCATTAGTTAAGCTTGTAATCAGGCAGCCACAAAGTTCTATGAACTAGTGGGCTAGATTAAGTTTTTAGTTGAAAAGTTTAGTCACATGTTTCCTTGAACATGTTTGCTGCTGAGTTTCACAGCAGAGGTCATTTGTTTTTTTCTGATTCAATTGTTCAAGTTTTAACTGCTACAGAAAAAAAAGCAAAAACTCAAACAATAGCCATTTCTATATTCCATGCTATTGTAATATACCATATGTTTTCCTGTTTGCTGGAATACTGTTAAATTTATAGTACAATGTTATTATATTTGTCACATGTCAAAATATTTAGGACTTGTCTAGTACTCTTTAGAGTTTTTGATAAATGCAGTATTTTTAAGATGAAGTAACAGCTGTTCATTTGAATCATGATACTTAATTTGAAAATAAAACTTCCTTACATGACTAAATTTCTATGTTTTAACAGTACAATTGTCCCACTGAACATGTAGACCTGCAGGGAAGAACTGCACTTCATGATGCAGGTAAGCAAAGGTTTCAGTTGGACATAAATCTTTGTTAAAATGGCTGGGCATTTAAATTAATTTCAGAGCTTAACATGCATATGTTTATGTAATCCATGGAGAAACAGAATGTTACGAATTTTTTATTTACTCAAGTTTGAAATTGGGTAGATTGTACAGCTTAAAAAGATTCATTCAGCCAGTATTTCCGGGCCAAGATGCGAGATATTGAGAGTCCAAAGATGAATAAACCATAACCTTGTTCTCAAGGAGCTGTAAATACCATGTGTATGCTTGGGGACTGGTAGGAGAAATGGAAGAAGGAAGACTTGTCTCTTTCTTAAAAACTGTATTTACTTCATTGACATGTCTGTACCTCATTTTCCTCATCTGCTGAATGAAGTTAAGAATACTACTGCCTTGTGTGTTTAGTCTCTCAGTCGTGTCTGACTCTTTGCGAGTCCATGGGCTGTAGCTCAGCAGGCTCCTCAGTCTATCGGGATTCTCCAGGCAAGAATACTAGAGTGGGTTGCCAAGCCCTCCTCCAGGGGATCTTTCCAACCCAGGGATGGAACCCAGGTCTCCCACATTGCAGGCAGGAGTCTTTACTGTCTGAGCCACCAGGGAAACCCAGTAATGGTTATAACTATTCATGATTAGTGAATGGTGCCTGGCATGTAGTAACTTCTCAATTAATGGTGGTGGTGCTTGTTTTGGTCTAGAGGTATCAGTGCTGAATTTGATATCATTGTAATGTGCTCTGTTTTAAAAGAGTTTTATATTAGTAATTTCAAGAATTTTATTAATATCAAAGTTTATCTGCTTTATTCTTTAGGTGTCTTAAAAAAAATGATTAGAAAAAGTTAAATATTTAAGGATTTTTGAAATGTAAGATATTCTGACCCCTGGCTGGACTCTTCTAAGACTGAAATTCATAGTTAACTAGAAGTTCAAAGAAAAGGAAAAAAAACCAACACACTGTTCCCGTTCATGTATATGGAGTAACTGTGGTAGTTAGAGTGGTGCCTTGAAAAATGTATTATACTTCAGATTTCCTTCAAACTTTCGTAACTTGATTTTCTTCCTTTGAAAAAATATGTACTTCTATGATAGTTTAATCTCTTACACAGTGCATTTTTAAAATTTTTGGAACAGAGTACTATTATTTGCAAAGCATTTTTACATACATTATCATTTGAGCCTCACAATGACCCCTCCCTGTGAGTTTCTGTAGTTTTTTATTTTTATGATAATTTTGTATTGCTACTGGTATAAAAATAAGTAATTAAAAAAACATAAACCTAGATTCATATGTAATATGCTTATCAAGCTTGTGTAGTTACAGAATCACCAGATTTATTTAACTTTAACACCACAAAAAAAATACAGTTCATTTCTGTAGCACTAATTTATTGTGCTTGATAGAAATTTTAAAATGATTTTGCTGCTTAATGAAGTATGAATTTCTGTCATGTGATATTTCTGTTCTACCACCTTTTCATAGTTATTTTTTAATCAATCCAACCTTATTAATCATTTTAAAAATTATTTTAAAATTTTTATTATGGAAAATTTCAAGCATAATGTTAAACTATCGTATTAAAATACCTTATACTGTTCATCCAATTTAGACAGTTGTGATCATGTGGCCAACCTTGTGATTCATTTATACCACCACCCATTATTCTACTCTCCTGACATATTTTAAATCAAATCCAAACGTCATATAATTCTATCCATAAACAATTCAGTTTTTATCTCTGAAAGATAATGATTCTATTTGGTAACCTAAATGTAACATCATTATCACACTTAGTGTGTTTGAAAATAGTTTCAATATCATCTGTTCAATGTTCAGCTTTCCCCAGTTATTTTTACTTTTTTAAATACCTGAGGTATAATTATTATACAAAAATTTAGATAATTATAAAATATAATAATGTATTGCATATTATTAACAATATGATATTGTATAATTTAAAATATATTAAGAGGGCAGAATATTTTGATAAGTATTCTCACCAAAAAAAACAAACCTCAAACCCCAAAAACACATACACACAAAACGACACAAGGAAATTTGTGGAAGTGATCCATATGTTTAGTATCTTGATTGTGGTGATGGTATTACAATGTATTCTTTAGTCCAAACTCAGCAAAATGTATACATTGTGTATAATTTTTTCTATATTATAGATTTTATTATCCTTGTTTTTAAAACTGGTACAACTTAACCAATCGAAATCTAAATATTTGTCCATTAGGTATATTGATGAAGTTAGGATGAAGACTGAGTTGATATAATAAAAGAACTTTAGTACCAGTTGCTTATTACAAAAATGTTGAGTGGTATATAGGTTAGCACGTGGCTTGAGGTCTTTGATGCACTGAATTCTTTCCATCTTGTTGCTCCACTTTACTGTGGTGTCTTTCTCAGCTACATCATTGCAGCTGGGTTGTAGTCATATCCATGTTCCAGCCAGCAGCAAAGGGAAGGAGAACTGGGGGAGCAAATGCCCGCGATCTAAGGCCCAGATTTGAAAGTGGTAAATAGCCCTTTATTCCTAATCCATCAACAAGAGAAAAGTCAGTTGGTGGCCTGCAAAGGAGGCCCAGAAATGTAATCTCCAGATAAGTAGTCACGGCCCAGCTGCTCCACTGTAGAAGAAGGGGAGAACAGGTTGGTAACAGTCACCACAGTCCAGCCCTCTGGCCTTCTGAATATTCCTGCAGCCGCTACTTCCCACACACAGAACCTTTGCCCCCCGCCCCGCCAAGGAGAGGACACATAACCAGTTCAGTTACTGAGGCCACCTCAAAGTCGGGCTTCTGGGCGCTGTGCTCTTGTTGGCTCTGAAATGGCTCTTCATGGTCCAACAATTTGTAAACGCAAAGAAAAGAAATGTACTCTTCATAATATATAGTGATGAAACAAGAACAGGATAAATAAAGTCTCTGTTCCAGAAAAGGGAGAACTGGGAAATACACAGCAATCACTAATCAATAGCGGGTACCAAATGCTGCTGAGCAAAATTTGCAAAGGCTTTCAGCTGAAGTCCGGGAGTAAATTTCTTGGTTAACTGCTCCATGTGCCCCCCTGGTTCTGTTTCCCATGAAAAATCCCTTGTCATTGTCATCTGTGGGCCCTAGCGCTGCCATCTCGGAGGTGCTTACTGATCTGTTATCCTCTAAGACACAGATAAATTGGATGCTGGAAGGTATGCCTTCTATATAGGCAGCTTAAGTGCAGGAAGAGTTATTGGTTTAGCTGCCTGGGCTTTCGGATTTGGGATAGTACATTCATTCCCTCAGAACCTTGGAAGGTTTCTCGCCTGTTTGTTGCCAGCCACTTTCATATTTATTTCACCATTTATTTTCTGGACATAAAAATTTTAACCCTTCTTTATTTCTTGTCTTTATTTCTAGAGTCATGATTCTCTACCTCATTTTATTTTTTTGGCCAAATTTAGAAAATTTATTTATTTATAAAATGTTCCATACAGTATAGAACATTAGGTTAATTTACAAGGTTTTAAAAAATTGTTACTGGAGTATAGTTGATTTACAGTGTACAAGTAAGTGTACAACAAAGTGAATCAGTTATGCATATTGCCACTCTTTTTTTTAGATTTTTTTCCCATATAATCCACTACGGAGTATTAAGTAGAGTTCCCTGTGCTGTAGAGTAGCTCCTTATTAGTTATGTATTTTATATAGAGTGGTGTGTATATGTTAATTCCAATCTCAATTTATCCCTCCCCTCCACCCCCTGGAAACCGTAAGTTTGTCCTCTATGTCTGTGACTCTACTTCTGTTTTGAAAATAAGTTCATTGGTTCTCTACTTCATTTTAATACTGCTATCTCAAAGTCATCTGAAATAATACATCTTGTATAGGAATATAGTATCCTCAATTCGATCTTTATTCCAGGACTGGATCTTTTTTTCCCCCTTTCTTTATTTTCC